ATAGAGTAGCAACGAAAATAATTTTATGGTTGGGGGTCACCACAACATGAGGAACTGTATTAAGGGGTCGCGGCATTAGGAAGGTTGAGACCCGCTGTCCTAGTCTAACAGGGAACAACTGTGTGGCTGTCCAAGGGTCCCAGACAGAGGCTTAGAGGAGTGCATACCTGTGTTGGGGAAGACAGCCATGCCCCCACCCCACCCCCACCATCCTTCCAGCAACTGCTTTTGATAGCTAGGGACAGTGTCCACAAGCGACCTTCACCCAGCCCAAGGGGGACGGACAACGTGAGTAGTGTCTGAAGTCTGGATTCTGCTTAGAGGCCACGGATGATAGGTGGGCATCCCTCTCCGCTGCCGTTTCTAGGAAGAAGGGTGGGTGTTTCTGTTGTCTGTGTTCCATTGAGTGAGCGGAGGCCAGGCCAGCTCGGGTTCTTGGGAAGGGGCCCCTTGAGGAAGCCTCTCCCTGATGGGCTGACACCGACATGCAGATGCCATATGCCTGCTTAGAACAGGCTCCGGAGTAAGACTGGCATCGCTCACCGGGGGTAATTACTGGTTTGGGTTCGATTTCCATTCAAAACAGTAATCCCAGCCTGAGCTGGGTGTCAGATCTGAAGGTTGATTATTAGTAACACTTATCAACAGCCTCTCAGCTTCAGGCAATTATAGCTAATCTGCCATTCCTGCTCCCAGTCGTGCAAAACTGCCAGCCTCTTCCCTGCTCGCCCACTCCGTTCCCCTCGCTTCTTCTCCTTTCCCTTCCCCTTAGCAGCCAGCCTGAGGGAGGGCAGGAGATGGGAGCCCCCTTTTGAGTCACTCTCACCCCCTTATGTATGTGCATGCTAGGCACCTGTGATCCCCAGTAGCAGCAATCTTTAAGTTGCAAAGTCTTATGAAATCTGAATCTGATTCTGTCAGCACTGAAAGGAATTCCTGTACCTTGCAGATAGAAACCCATATCTCCTGGCTCCTTGTCACATGACGCATTTTCGGTTGCATCAGGGCCCCTCCTGCCCCTGACTCAGCCTGTCTTCCCCCGCAGGCCAGAGACTAGATAAGGCAAGTGAGGCATTTACCTTAGGTACATATTTTAAGGGACTGTCACAAAGCTCAGTCATCCAGAGAAATACTATTTTAATGCAGTAATTTTTAAAAATGAAAATAAATGCAAAAACATCCATAATGAATACGAACAAAATTTTGTAAAGACAGGATCCAACCCTGGATGGCAGGACTTGGCCTCACTTGCCTCACCTTCATTTCAGCCCTATAGTACCCTGTCTTAATTTAAATTTAAAAAATTTTTGAGGGTATTTTTGCATCCATTTTGATGTAAATATTATTTATCTTGGTCACTGAGTTATTTGGCACCTCCTTAAATTTTGCACCCCTACGAGTGCCTCATTGGACTCACCCTAGTCCTGGCCCTGCTCCCCCACTTCCTGTTGGGCCCTACAGCCCTGCTCCCTTCAGTTCTCCCTGTCTAATGTCTCAGGTTGGGATCTCAGCTTCTGTCTGAGCTGGGGCCCCACCATGGGCTCTCCCTCCTGAATGCCCATCCTCCACTCCACCCCTCTGGACCTGCTTCATCCTTGGACACCTCCAAGAGGACTTGCAGGTTGCCATGGTAACTGCTGTGGTAATTGGAGGACAGAACACGCTGGGCTTGCTCCACTCCTACAGTCATGTCCGGCCAGAGCTGGATAAGTGCAGGTATGCCTGACAGAATCCCTGCTGCACGAATCTCAAAGGAAGCTAAAACATTGCTGGATGTGTATGGAGATGGAGAAAATTACATTTACCTGAATCCCTCCCAGGGGAAGGACAGCCTGTGGCTAATGGAAGACTGGTGATGTTTGTGACAGGGAGGCGAAACGCGGAAGTAAACATGGATGCTGGCTAACCAGCCTTCTGCAGAGGGTAGGTCTCATTCCCTGAAGGGTTTTGTTTTGCTGAGCAGGATCTGTAAGCTGAGGGATGCCTGTCACCAAAGAATGCCCTCCTCCTCCACCCCCAACCCTCAACTCCCCTCCCCCTGGCTGTGCTCAGCCTATCTCTAAAGGTTTAACAAACATTTCAGAAAGATCCTTGTTGAAGGAGTGCCCAGGATGCCAAATCATATGTGGGACTTGAGGCATTGTCATATCAAGGTCCAGGCCTATGTCATTTGGCCACTCAGTGTCCCAATGCTGGCCATCACAGTGAGAGACCCAAGAGTCTCAGGTGAAATGGGTCACAAGCACTCTGCCCTTGCTGTTCTCCACCATCTCCCTTCTGAGGCCTCCACAGCACCACAGAACTGGCACGCTCTGGCTACCCCGCCTGGCAGTAAGGCATCGCATCCAGTGCCTGCTCTGCCACTGCCTGGGCCAGCCGCTTCTCCTCCAGCCTCAGTTTCCTCTTCTGTGAAATCTCAATAATAATGCCCTCCTTCAAAGGCTGTGCTCACCATTTAAAGAGCTAACATATGTATAAGTGCTCTATACATCTGTATAACTGGCCAAGTGCTGTGACCGACGGAAGAGCCATGTGCTGTAGGGCCCTGGAAGACAGAACCAGAACCAAAGGGACGTGTGCTTGCGCTTGAGGTGAAGAAGAAATTGCTGATTGCAGAGGTGGAGGGCCCACTCTGGAAGGAGTGAGCACCCTGATGCTGGAGCTTGGGCAAGAAGGGGGACCAGGGACGACACTGCTTGAGAAGGTGCTAGCCTGAGTATCGGCTTTGAGATGCCCTTTGACTCTGACTGGAAAGTTCCATTCTTCCCACAGCAGGACAGAAGACATCTGAGAGTTTATGAGATGGAGGGATGAGGTGTCCAGTCCCAGGTGGGCACACGCCTGGACGCTGCCGTGTGCAGTGTGTCTGTACAGGATCCCTTCGTGCTGCCTCCCCATGCTGGCTTTGGAGCTTTGAGGCTTGTGTCAAAGTGGAGAGAACAGCAGACTGAGAGCTGGGAGACCTGGCTCTGAGCCGTCCTCCTTCTGAGCCTGATCTTCCCCACCTGTGTCATGAAGGGTGGGGGATGAGCTGCCCTTCTCAGCTGACAGTCTGTGGTTCTTCTATTTTCTGGAGGCCATGCGAGTTGACAGAAGGGGCTCACCTTTGCACTTTCCTCCCTGGCCGCTTACAGTCTCCTCACATGTCTTTATCTGTCTGCTTGGGAGACCAACGGGCCAAGGTCTTCAGGGTCCAGTCAGAGTGGAAAGAGCAACGTCTGGTTTTGCATCTCGGCATCATTTTCCCCTCAGAAATTTGAAACGGAATCCCAAAAAGTGGGGCTGGAGGTAGGGAAGAGAGAGGTGGAGGTGACATGACCCGGGAGCTAGAGTGAGTACCTGGTAGTAGATGAGGCTGGAGGAGCTGGCAGGACTTGGGCAGAGCACAGCAGCTCAGAGCCTGGCCCGAGGCAGTGGGGAGCTTCTGAAGGGTTAGTCAGGGTTGGGAGACATAATCAGATTTGCATTTAGAAGGAAGTTCACTCTAGTGTCAGAGGATGGATTGAGAGAAGCAAGTTGGAGGCAGAAACCATCCTGATGCCGAGATCTGGGCAACAGACAGGGCAGCCCTACTGAGGATGTGGGTCAAGGGAAGAGGGTGGGTGCAGTTGAGAGATGCTTGGTAAGAGACTTCAGAAGGGCTTGATAGTTGTCTGCGTGGGCAGAGGAGGGTGGACAAGGAAAAGCAGGAAGCTGCGATGGTGCCTGGGGGGCCGGGTGTGTCACTCACAAAGACAGAGTACATAAAATGAATGCTCAGGCTCACAGGAAGTCCTAGGATGCATACCTCAGTGTGAGGTGCTGTGGGACTGCTAGGGGGATGTGTCCAGAGAGCAGCTAGTTGGAAAGGTCTAGAGTTTAGGAGAGGGGTGGACCCATGATGCAAGTGTGGACATCCTCTATGTAAGAGCTGTGGGAAGTGAAGCCCTGTGAGGGGATAAGGTCACTCAGGTGCACTTTAGGTGGAATGAGAGGACAAGAGGCTAAGGACACAGACAGGGAAATCCTAAATCCCACATCAGTCCCTCAAAGGGACAATTTATTGTCCCCCAGCACAGAGCCTGCTACTGACTCCTAGCACAGGGCTGGCCACATAGAGAGCATCAGTGACTGTGTCCTCTGGCGGTGGTTCCTCCAGATAGGGCCTTTGTCCTCATTGCACCTGGCTATTCCTGGGTTGCTGTAGTAACCACAGATGCAGGGATACACAGCTTGTATTGCTATGGAAACAAGCAGGTGGGTGTCCATGAGTGGCATGGCCCGTGAGGCCTTGGGAATTCAGCCTGGTCCTGAAGGGCTTAGGAGGGAGACTAGGACCCGCAGAGAGGGTTTCCATGTCCTAATAAATCAGTGATGGTTGTTAGCCCAACTGTTGTCACGGTGATGGAGGAAGACACCCAGTGGCCTGTGCTAGCCTCAGGACTGAGCCAAGCGAGCCAAGGAACTACACCAGGCTCCAGATTTTTGTGTGTAGCCCCTCCAGGAGCAGCCCCCAAACTCACCCCATCCTCTGGCCACCAAGGGGCCCAGGACCCCTTTGCTTTCTTTCTGGGTTTGCACCCTTTTGCCAAGACAGGGATTTTGTTCCCAGGAGGCACTCCCCGGCCCATGGGATCTCATCATTCAAAGCAACGCAGGAAACTTGGGCCCCTGAAACGGGGCCACCGAAGAGATCCAGATCGGTAAGCATTGAACACCCCACCTCTGGCCCATGGACCCCACATCACATCCACTCACCCCTTCCCAGTGACCGCACCCCTCTGCAGTTCCAAGGCCTCCCCTCCCCCATGGCCACATGGGACCCCACCGCCCGAAGCCTCGGGCTCTAGACAGGGAAACGAGGAGGCTTTGTTCCTCTGCCTGCCCAGGATCCCAAGGGGTTCCTTTACCAGGGAGTGAGGCCTCTGCCCTTGGCGGCTCCACACTCCCGCCCGCTGCCTGTCCTGGTGGGCTCCTTCCAGCCTCCACCCCCGGCCCCATGTTTCATTCCCACAGCTCTGGTCTGTACCGCCCTCATTCTGGGCTACCTGCCTGCTGTCCCCGGCTCCACAGAGTGAGCACCCGACGGAAATCCCTCCACCCTGATCCCACTTAACTCCCACCTGAAGCGGCTGAGACCGAGGCCCTGAAGGAGGCCTTGCGTGACCGCAGTCTGGCCAGGCAAGGGGCAGGAATGACGAGGTGAGGCAACATGGGCGTGGAGTCACCCCTGCTTTTCCTCCTCAGGAGAACAACCAGGAGGAAGTACTGGAAGGAAGGAAGGGAGATCGTTCGGTGAGCTGGCAGGGGAGAAAGGAGCCCCGGCTGGGAAAGGGCCATCCACAGGAGACTGTGCGGGAGGTGGCGGGCAACACATGGGTGGCTCAGTGGCGGACCCCATGTGTGCTGGAGTGCGTGTGTGTGTGAAGTGGGGTCCACGAGTGCCTCATTGGACTGGGGGGGGACAGGAGCTGGGGTGGGGAGGCTGGCGCGGGTTCCAGTGGTTTGTCCCGGGACAGGGTGGGGGCCGGCCGGGCCCAGCCCTGAGGGGCAGGGGGTCGGTTCCAACCTGGCCTCTCCTGGGCCCCTGGGTCCCGGTGCTGGGTTACACCTCCTCCCCCCTCGGGCCACTTTGTCCTCCCCTGGGTGTCATCTGTCGGGCGGTGTGTCCTTGGGGCAGTTCAGTCCCATCCCCCCTCATGCCGTTGGGGTTTCCTGCTTGGGAAGGGGCTGGAGGGGCATCAGCTGGACGTTGAGAGATACCCTTGGGATCGGAAGGGGAGTTGCTGCAGCTGCGCAGAGCCTCCCATTGCAGGTGAGTGTCTGTGCCCCGAGTGGGGGGGGGGTGGAGGGGGGTGGGAACGGAGAGAGGGCAGGACTGAGATCTGGGGATCCCCGTTGGCCAAGCTTCTCACCACCCTACCTGTTCTACTGCAGCCCCTTGTGACACCACCCCCAACCTCTCTCTAGGAGGCAGCAGTGAAGTGGGCTGGTAGTCCCTTGAGCGTCTGGTACTTGTTGGCAGTCTTGGGTTGAAGTTTTTAATGGGCTGTGGCCTGGGTAGTGGACCATGGACAGCCACTGTGGTGTGCAAGTGAGTTTGGACTAAATAGGCAAGTTGTGACTGGGTGGACTGGCAGCCTGTTTTTGTGAATAAATGGAATACGTACATCCATTTGTTTATGTATGGTCTATGGCTGCTTTCACCCTACAGCCTCAGAGTTGAGCACAGCTCAGAGTTCAAGCCTCAAATATTTACTGTCTGGCCCTTTAGGAAAATGTTTGCCCACCCTTCTCAGATATTCCCCATTGTGCATGCTCCCCTTCACCCTGGGTGTGTCCATTCTCTTCCTCTCCCCCCACACCTCAGCACATTCCCTTCCTCCTCCCTCTGCATCCCCCACACACCTGGCTCACCCCAGGCTGAGTGCTGTCTACACCTGGGGACTTTACTTTGGGGCCCACTCACCTCACCTTGCCTCACTACTTTCTCTGGCCAAGAAAGGAAAATGATTGGGCGCAACAGGCATTACAGAATCCAATAGGGTATCTGAGGGCTGAGGGCCGAGCCCCTGCGACATTCTTGACTGGCCCCATGATGAAAATAGGCCCCTTCCCAGGCCACAGGAGCAGGGTGAGTTAGCTGATGGTGAGCACCGCTTCTCTGGGACCCCCAGATCTGTTACAGCACCTGAGAGGCTGAGCAGGCCAGTTCTGGGTGTGGGCCTCCTGTCACCTCTCCCTGGGGTCCTGGCCGTGAGCAGGTGAGAAAGCTGAGGTCCCAGTGGAGTTGGGGCGGGGGGAACACTGCTGAAGGAGCACAGAATGATAGGGCACCAGGATGCCCTGGAGAGACCTAGGGGCACCAGAGGCACAGCCCCTACCCTGCCTGCTACTCAGCGGCCCATAGTGCCTCTTTCTTCCAAGCCCCAAGCATTTGTGAACAAAGCCAAACCCCTTTTCTTGGTTCCCTATTGCACAGCTGAGTTCAGGGGTCTGTTTCAGGGGAAGGAGAGGAGCAGAGGGAGACCTCAGGTCCTGAAGACAGAGCTGCTGTCACTAGGTGGCACCCTTGAAGTGTCGGCTCCTGCTAGGGAGGGTGCTGCGTGTTCTGACACTTGCCCACTGTTCACCTGTCCAATTCCAGCCTAAAAGGCTGTGGTGTCATACACTCTGAATCCCACCAGGTCTGACCAGCTCTGTCTGCCCCCGAGGCAGCTCATCAACCCCTCCATTCTGTGGCTCGGGGCATTTTTACTTGGGACATGAGAATGGGCCATCAGGGACCGCCTGCAGTTGTAGTGATCTGTCATTACCTGCCTACTTATCCTCTTTCCCCACAGGACTCCTTGTGGGCAGGGACTGTCTCATTTCCCTCTGGGCCACAGGTCCTGGCACAGTAGAGAGGGCACAAGGTGGTGAATGATGTGCAAACAGGAGAGAGTGTTGCCATCACTGTTTGCCACCGTAATGTGTCTCATGAATCCTCTTTAGTATCCTGCTACCTCACTGGGCAGCCAGGGGGAAGGACCCAGGCACACGTATATCCTGGGAGGAGAGCTGGTTCAGAGGCAAGAGAAGGCTTTTTCCCTCTGGCCTGGTTCTGGGTGGTGCCAGCATTCTAGGACTCCTCTAGATAGGATGAGAGGCACTGAGGAGACACAGGCTAGGGTGGGAGAATGTTGCTTGTTTCCAGGGAGAGTTTCCAGGAATACCTGGCCTTGTCTGGCAGCAGGAGCAAGCACACGCTCATCAAGGATGGAGAAAGGGGCTGAGGTGGACCCTATGGTGGCCTTGCCCTTCTCACCTGGCCCCAGTTCATGCCATCCCAGGAACCTCCTAGTCCAGCGGTTCTCAACCTGTGGGGCGCGACCCCTTTGGGGGTCGAACGACCCTTTCACAGGGGTCGCCTAAGACCATCGGAAAACAAAAAGATATTTACATTACGATTCATAACAGTAGCAAAATGACAGTGATAGAGTAGCAACGAAAATAATTTTATGGTTGGGGGTCACCACAACATGAGGAACTGTATTAAGGGGTCGCGGCATTAGGAAGGTTGAGACCCGCTGTCCTAGTCTAACAGGGAACAACTGTGTGGCTGTCCAAGGGTCCCAGACAGAGGCTTAGAGGAGTGCATACCTGTGTTGGGGAAGACAGCCATGCCCCCACCCCACCCCCACCATCCTTCCAGCAACTGCTTTTGATAGCTAGGGACAGTGTCCACAAGCGACCTTCACCCAGCCCAAGGGGGACGGACAACGTGAGTAGTGTCTGAAGTCTGGATTCTGCTTAGAGGCCACGGATGATAGGTGGGCATCCCTCTCCGCTGCCGTTTCTAGGAAGAAGGGTGGGTGTTTCTGTTGTCTGTGTTCCATTGAGTGAGCGGAGGCCAGGCCAGCTCGGGTTCTTGGGAAGGGGCCCCTTGAGGAAGCCTCTCCCTGATGGGCTGACACCGACATGCAGATGCCATATGCCTGCTTAGAACAGGCTCCGGAGTAAGACTGGCATCGCTCACCGGGGGTAATTACTGGTTTGGGTTCGATTTCCATTCAAAACAGTAATCCCAGCCTGAGCTGGGTGTCAGATCTGAAGGTTGATTATTAGTAACACTTATCAACAGCCTCTCAGCTTCAGGCAATTATAGCTAATCTGCCATTCCTGCTCCCAGTCGTGCAAAACTGCCAGCCTCTTCCCTGCTCGCCCACTCCGTTCCCCTCGCTTCTTCTCCTTTCCCTTCCCCTTAGCAGCCAGCCTGAGGGAGGGCAGGAGATGGGAGCCCCCTTTTGAGTCACTCTCACCCCCTTATGTATGTGCATGCTAGGCACCTGTGATCCCCAGTAGCAGCAATCTTTAAGTTGCAAAGTCTTATGAAATCTGAATCTGATTCTGTCAGCACTGAAAGGAATTCCTGTACCTTGCAGATAGAAACCCATATCTCCTGGCTCCTTGTCACATGACGCATTTTCGGTTGCATCAGGGCCCCTCCTGCCCCTGACTCAGCCTGTCTTCCCCCGCAGGCCAGAGACTAGATAAGGCAAGTGAGGCATTTACCTTAGGTACATATTTTAAGGGACTGTCACAAAGCTCAGTCATCCAGAGAAATACTATTTTAATGCAGTAATTTTTAAAAATGAAAATAAATGCAAAAACATCCATAATGAATACGAACAAAATTTTGTAAAGACAGGATCCAACCCTGGATGGCAGGACTTGGCCTCACTTGCCTCACCTTCATTTCAGCCCTATAGTACCCTGTCTTAATTTAAATTTAAAAAATTTTTGAGGGTATTTTTGCATCCATTTTGATGTAAATATTATTTATCTTGGTCACTGAGTTATTTGGCACCTCCTTAAATTTTGCACCCCTACGAGTGCCTCATTGGACTCACCCTAGTCCTGGCCCTGCTCCCCCACTTCCTGTTGGGCCCTACAGCCCTGCTCCCTTCAGTTCTCCCTGTCTAATGTCTCAGGTTGGGATCTCAGCTTCTGTCTGAGCTGGGGCCCCACCATGGGCTCTCCCTCCTGAATGCCCATCCTCCACTCCACCCCTCTGGACCTGCTTCATCCTTGGACACCTCCAAGAGGACTTGCAGGTTGCCATGGTAACTGCTGTGGTAATTGGAGGACAGAACACGCTGGGCTTGCTCCACTCCTACAGTCATGTCCGGCCAGAGCTGGATAAGTGCAGGTATGCCTGACAGAATCCCTGCTGCACGAATCTCAAAGGAAGCTAAAACATTGCTGGATGTGTATGGAGATGGAGAAAATTACATTTACCTGAATCCCTCCCAGGGGAAGGACAGCCTGTGGCTAATGGAAGACTGGTGATGTTTGTGACAGGGAGGCGAAACGCGGAAGTAAACATGGATGCTGGCTAACCAGCCTTCTGCAGAGGGTAGGTCTCATTCCCTGAAGGGTTTTGTTTTGCTGAGCAGGATCTGTAAGCTGAGGGATGCCTGTCACCAAAGAATGCCCTCCTCCTCCACCCCCAACCCTCAACTCCCCTCCCCCTGGCTGTGCTCAGCCTATCTCTAAAGGTTTAACAAACATTTCAGAAAGATCCTTGTTGAAGGAGTGCCCAGGATGCCAAATCATATGTGGGACTTGAGGCATTGTCATATCAAGGTCCAGGCCTATGTCATTTGGCCACTCAGTGTCCCAATGCTGGCCATCACAGTGAGAGACCCAAGAGTCTCAGGTGAAATGGGTCACAAGCACTCTGCCCTTGCTGTTCTCCACCATCTCCCTTCTGAGGCCTCCACAGCACCACAGAACTGGCACGCTCTGGCTACC